GGCAGCACATCTTAAGTGAATGCAGAAAAGAACCTCATAGACCACAGTAACCTAGGACACCTCCAGACAAACCAAATGCTCACTTAACAATAGACCCCCTTGGGCAGTTTTTTTTCTTTTTCAGTAGGATGATGGGATGGTAAATTTGTAGCTGGAAGGGGCCTTCAAGTCATCTAGCCTAGCCCTTTCACTTTGTAGATAAGGACACTAAAGGATCATAGATCTGGAGCAGGAAGGTGCTTTAGTGGCCTTCTAGGTCCGCATCCTCAGAGAAGTTAACTTGTTCAAGATCACAGTTATTAGGGGGAGCTAGGTGGCACAGTGGATAGAGCTCTGGCCTTGGATTCAGGAGGACCTGAGTTCAAATCTGGTCTCAGACACTTGACTCTTACTAGCTGTGTGATCCTGGGCAAGTCACTTAACCCTATTTGCCTCACAAAAAAAAAGCAAATAAAAAATGATCACAAGTATTAAACAGTAGAGTTACTGTGAGAAGATGAACCACTGGGGAATCTAAAATGTGTCCATTTGACAATGCCTCGGATGGCATCTCTCCATGTGGAAGAGTGAGGAAGCTTGCTTCCAGAAGAGTCATGCTGAGTGAAGTGCCATGGAGAGGGTGTAGACAGTCTGTAACTGGCTCCAGCCGGCTCACCACGTGTCAACAGGGAAGTCCTTTGACTGGCTGGGGAATCATTCCCAAAGGTCTGCTGGCTTCATCCCCTTCCTCACTCACTGACTCCTCTGCTAGCACTGTGAGACCTTCCTGTAAGGGGAGAAGATGTGGGTGTCTTCTTCCCACGGAGGCCTATGGCCCTGTGAAAGCCTCAATCTTTGGTCTCATTTGTCATTTTCACTTTTAGGTGAAGGAGTTTGGAGCCTCTGACCTTGGCTCCTCAGCATTCAGGAATCTGGGTCCCACAGCCCGTAAGTAGCATCATTGCCCTGTGGAGCGGGAAGTGGTCTTCAGGACCACAGCTCAGCAGCAGCTGAGACAAGGACTCACTCAGCTGTGAACCTGTCTTTGGATGGGAAATTGGTGGGGCCAACTAGGTAGGAGATGGGCTAAATTCAGCTTATTCCCCCACCAGAAGACCAAGGTAGAGTAGAAAAGTAGGTTCTTCAGGCATTGGGGGAAAGTGTATGTTTGTTATTGCTTTATGTTTTAAATAAAACATGTTCTATTGACCATTTACCAACAATTAGCTTTCACAAAGGGCAGGAATCAGGTTATTCCCTTTTTTGATATCTTCAGCACCTGGCACAATGGTATCAGGCCTGGATGTGGTATCAGGAAGACTTGAGCTCAAATGCTACCTCAGACAGATACCAGCTGGATAACTGTGGGTAAGTCACAATTTCTCAGGCTCGGTTTCCTTATCTGTAAAATGAAGGTAATAACAGCAAATACCTCTCAGGGATGTTGTGAAGATAAAACAATACATTTAAAAGGCCCTTGGTACAGTGCCTGACATAGGATGCGCCTGTTGACTGCTTTTAAGGTTTGTCTAGTGCTTTATCCATAGATCATCTGTACTTTGCTGGATCCTCACAACTCCATATGATGGATTTTTTTTTTCGGCCTCGATCTGTAATTTCTTTAATGACATTCCCTCTACCAATGCAGACAGGCACCTGCTCTGCAACAGAAAAGTCTTAGGTTCCTGCTGCACTGGGAGGTTATGACTTGCTCAAGGTCACACAGCTAGTACTTGGTAGAGGGAAGACTCGAATCTGGGTCTTCTCGAGTCTGAACCAGGCCATCCCTCACAGGGTAAATACAAATCATTATCCCCATCCTACAAATGGTGAAACGAGATGGTGGTGAATCACCCATGGCCACAAAGCCAGTTACCTGTTTGTTAGAGGTTGAATTTGAACCCACACCTCTCCTGACTCTAAATGCAGCACTTCATACTTTGCTAAAGTACTTTTTTTTTTTTTTAAAGTGAGGCAACTGGGGTTAAGTGACTTGCCCAGAGTCACACAGCTAGGAAATATTATGTGTCTGAGGCTGAATTTGAACTGAGGTCCTCCTGACTCCAGGGCTGGTGCTCTATCCACTGTGCCACCTAGCTGCCCCTAAATTATTTTCAAAATTAAAGAGGGTCTGTGACAGTTCCTCAGGTGCTTATTTTGGGGTGAGTAGAATTATTCTGAAAGCAGTAGGATTCCCATGAGGGGACTACTGCACTAGGAAGTGGAGGGGTTAAAGTGTGGGGAAGGAGAGGGTGGTGAATTGGAGGCACAGACCAGTGGGAAGGGGGGAAGGGACAGAAGAGGAATCAGGAGTACCTATCCCAGGAAGCCTTGCGCTAACTACCTGTAGCTGCAGCTCCCTGTTAAGGGCTTTCCTAAGTCTGGATCCGTTCCTTTCAGTCTTGGATGAATGACAGCTGATGACTCTCTACCTGTGAAATGCAGTCCCTTTTCTGCTGCTGCAGGAGCAGCCAGGTAGTGGACACACTGGGGGGGCAGTCACACAGGCCACAGTGCCTAAGTATCAGGGTCCTAAAGCTGGTGGAGACCTTACAGATGATCTAGTCCAGCTTTCTTATTCTACACAACAGGAAACAGACGCTCCTAAAGAAGAAATGACATGCCCAAAGCCACTCACACACCTAGCAAGGTGGGAAGGCAAGTCTCGAACCTTTGCCTCCTGACTCCCAGCCCACTCCACTTGTGCTCCACTGCTGCCCTGGCCAAGACAGTGCCTTTTGGAGGCGGCAGCTTGGTATAGTGGATAGAGCACCAGGCCCAGAGTTGGGGACAGGAGATCAAATCCAGCTTCACACTTCCTGCCTCTGTGACCCTAGGTGAGTCACCTTACCTATACCTGTTTCCTCCACTGTGAAATGGGGGTCATAACAGCAGCTACCTCCCCACGTTGTGAGGATCAAATCAGATGTAAAGTGCTTCGCACAGTGCCTGGCACATGGACGCTTGATAAATGTTGACTATACCTGGTTTAGCTTTGAAGTCTCACTCCTGGATCCTGGGGAATGGGCAAGTAAGAACCGTGCTAGACACTCAGAGCTGCCCAGATATTTGAAAAGTTGCTTTTATTTTTTTTTGAGGGGGGCGGCACTCTTCTTCATCAGGTGCCCGGTGCTTCGACTCCCAGGACAAGATCTCAATGACTGGAAAGGGGAAGGTTAGTTTTGCCCCCTAGTAAGAGGAGTGTAGGGCTTTGGAAGATGAAGGGTTGGAGATCTTTTTCTTAATACTAATGAACCTCAGAATGACTTCCCTGACACTCATACAGGCCTTTGATGCAGTGTCATAGACACACGAAATCAATCTCCAGACTCACCTTCACATATTCTGGTCTCACCCAAGCAGTTGGATGGAGAAACATGGAGAGAGCCAAGCTCTTCATTACCTTTCTTCTGCAAAGTGGGACCTTAAGTCGAGCTAGGGAAAAGCTAATATGTTCCACTGGTTTCCCACCTTTCTCATGGAGCCATGGGCTGGTCCTGGGCACAGTGTCCTTCCCTCCCTTCCCTGACAGACATTAAGAGAGGTACCTGTCCCTTGGGATGCTATTTCAGCATCCATCTCTATCAATCACCCCTTGTTTGCCCTGAGAACAACTGCTCAAGCCGGCATCAGCACAGGGTGCTTCTCTTGTTAGGAGCAGGCTCACTGGCAGGCTCTCCTGGGCACGATGGTAAAGGGTAAACTGGGCTCTTTTCTTTCAGCAGGGATCCCACTGGCTATGGTGAAGCCCCAAGAGCACTCTGCACCTGGGCAGGTCCAGGTGTGACTTTTTTTCCTTCTAATTATTCCCTAGTGCTTAGCACAATCTGTAGAGACAAAAAACATTACAAATGAAAGTGGGTCTACACCTAAATGATCTGGATAATTTTCCTTTGTATGCTAATATATTTTTCTAAAATCTTATGGACGTGACCCTGGGTTGTCATGCTGCCAGAGCACAGACTGGAAAGGTTTTGAGTGCAGGTCTAGCCATGGTCTTCTTTCCAAGATGCTCACCATCAGAAGATTGACCACAATGTGAGAGACCAGCTTTTTCAGCAAGTAGCGACTGCTTTCAGCCACAGCAAATCCCAAAGACTGACAGAATTACCAATTCTCAAAGTATTCAAGGCGGCCAAAAATACTTCTTGGGTTCATTTTCCTATTTTTTAAACCCTGCTCGTTTGCCAAAACCCAGGGAGGGGCTGCAAGCCAGTGGCTTGACTCCCCTTGGCCTTTCTTCATTCACACTGCTGGAGCCCTTAGGGCTCCTGCGATCAGGGTTGGCCTGAGCTCCAACTGCAAAGGACACCATTTATTTTTAGCATCTCCATCATCTTAGGGTGACTTTCCCCCACTTTGGCAACTTCCCCCAAGACTCTACCACATTCCTGATGTTCTCAAACTCCTTCCATCAGATTTTGCCCTCCTTGTGTCCATACCGGCCCTTTGCTAGGGCTCACCTAGGCAACTAAATGCTGCTATGTATACACATTTTAGCAGGACTTCCTGGAGACAATGCTTTAACCCAAAGGTATAAATGGTGAAAATTTCAGACAAGAAGAGGGGAAGGGGGTTCCCTACCTCAGGTAATTACAGTAACTGCTCTTATTTCTCAAGCATTTTACTCCTACTGTGCCTATGAGGGTGGGCACAGGTAGCAGTTTGCCCAAAGGGTGTTTTCTAGTTAGTAAATGGAGCAAGGACTTCTGAGTCCAAGGCCAACCCATCTTCCCCTCCCCATTCCGCCATAACTGGAAGCTGCAAGATGGAGAGGAGTGGGGGTAGTTTACTATATGTACAAACATCCAATCAATTCCATCTTCTCCTTTCTAATGCTGCACATTGTTTGCTCTTCTGACATTCTTGCCATTCAATGTTCTATGATGTTGAGGCGTAAAGGCAACCACCTCTACTGCCAAGTTCTCAGGGCCTGAGCCCATCTCGTCCTCAGGGAGCCACATCATTGCCATTGAAGCCTGAAGGTAGGAGCCCATGGGGGAGTAAGGGTACAGCAAAGGCAGGTTTTAGAGATTTATTTAATTAAAAAAAAAGGTCTCTAAAAAGTCCTTCATTTCCCATTTCTACCCTGCCTAGAGGGTGAGGAATAGCTCAACTGAAGGAGGTACCCACTTTGTTCAGGGAAAAGCTCCATTCTCCCCCAACCCCTTCCCAGTCTGCATGAGGCTGGGTGAGTCAGAGGTGGGGGGAGTTCTTTTCCCTTCCCACCCTACCTTCTTGAGAGGCCCAAATGGATGCTGGGAAGTTTTAGAGGCAAAGGGGTGTAGGCAGAGGAAGTGAGGAGATGGCCTTTTTCAGACCGACCGTGACACAAGAGCTGTGCAATCCCTTTCAACAGTCCCTGGGTCCCCAAGGCCTTGGCCGCTGGGGGCGGTGTAAATGGAAGAGGCCGTGCCCTTCACGCTGGCATTTGGCAGGGGGCCTTTCCTTAATGCTGCTTGTGGGAAAGCAGGGCATTCGGGAGCAATTTGTAGCATGTCACGATGGCCTCATGAGTCCAGAAAGAAGAATCCCCAATCCTCTCCCTTACAGACCCTCCCGGCCTCTGTGCTGAGGCTGCAGCTCCCTCATTCTCCACCTGAGAGTGAGTGGAGTCCAGGACAAAGCACTAAGAGGACACCTGGATAAAGCCAGAAGGAAGGAACTCAGCCCATCTGCCAGTCCGGGCTCTCACACACAGTCACACACACAGCGTTAAGGCGTATGGGCCAACAGGCATGGCCAAATCAGGCCCAGCTTCTCTCTCTCCACCTGGACATAGCAGTGCCTGTATCTGGGGGAATTCTTGGCTATTTCAGAATCAGGCTGAAGGGGGAGAAGCTGATGAAGAAAGAGTTAACCAGCTTAAGGAAGGATAGGGCATGAAGCAGGCAAGGGTTGCCCTGGCCTCTGTCCAGGCCTGGTGGTCATCCTTGACAGTTATCCCACTTGGGTTGGGGAGCTCTGGCCACCTGTGCCTCTGAGGGGTGAGGATGGGGGCTAGGGTGGGCAGGGAAGACAGCAGGGCTAGAGCCATGGGACTTCAGAAGAAGCTGATGCTACCAATATTTACAAGCACAATGCCCCAACTTCTGCAGCCACCTGCCTACCTCCGTCCTCTCCTGCAGAAATGCAAGGGCCCTGAGGGTGAGGGAGGAGGCTGGCAGAGCCCCTCCTCCTCAGCCATGCCCAGGAGGAGCTCATGGTCCCTTCTCTATGCCCCATGGGAACATTTTCTTGTGCTCTGCTCAGTTAGGGTGCAAGGAGCTCCCAGGGAGAAGAGAAGGGGTCTTTTCCATGGCCAGGTCCTAGGAGTCCTTGAGCATGCTGATGCGTGCATAGATCTTCAGGGCGGGCCCAAGCTTGATGTTCATGGCACTCATCAAATGGTCTTCCTTGAGCAGTAACAGGGCCTGCCCATCAATCTCCTGGGCACGAAACTCTTCTGCAATCTCCTGGCAGCCTGGGAAAAGAAGACAAATCTGTTAGAAGTTGGGTAGTGGGGGCATGAGTAAAAAGAGATCTGTAGGTAGGGAGCATCACTACCCTCCCTGCTCAAGGGCCAAAAGAAGGTGGCAGAGCAGGAGCGCTCACAATGAGGACAATGGGGCTGGTTCTTTCCAAGGAAATGGCTCTCAATTGCTGGGAGATCAGTTATTCTCTCTGGGCAGCAATCTGCCTCAGAATGCCCCTTCCTTCTTTCCTCCTACAGAAAAGAAAGCACCCGAGAGCCAGCAAGAGCAGGGCAGTCCCTTCCCAACATCCAACTGTGAGACCCTCAAGTTCCAGGGAGAAAGGATCTTCTGGGGCTCCTACCTGGCAAAGAACGGATGAACTCATAGACATCTTCCACATTCCATTTGGTGGGCTCACTGGGCAGGAAGTGGTGGCCAACACCCACCAGGTCCCTCATGTGCATGTCGGGGAGCTCCAGGTCCCGCTGGCCCTGGCGCCGTCGTGAGGTGGAGGAGCTGGCCGAGATGGGCGACAGGGGCTCCTCGTAGCTTGAGTTATCCGAGCAGCGACTCGAGTCTTCTTGGCTGTGGGTCAGCTGCAGCGCAGCTGTGACTGAGAGAGGCACGGCCCCTGCAGGCTAGGGAAATAAACACAGAGCTTGAGCTTTGGGGCAGGGCAAGATCCCTCCTGGGCAGTAGCACTAGGGGGTTGGGGGATCGGGTGAGGCAGCAAAGAACAGGGATTTGGTGCCCAACCACTCTGGGAAGGGGGATGTGGGCAGGGAAAAAGAGAAGAGCCAAGATCACAGGGCTCTTTCAGCATCTTCCAGGAATTCCCAACTCCTCTGCAACCAAGCAGGTGGTTGCTCGAACAACCTGTCTCTGTACTGGGGAAAGGAGGGAAATCTAAGTGGTTCAGGGGATCTCCCTGGAGTAGGCATATCAAGATTCAAAGGAAAATGGGAGAATCATTCAGGCCCGAGGAGGACAAGGGACAAGGGAAAGCTGGCTTGTGAAAGGTTGGGAGCCCCGATAAATCCAAGTGATGGCAGGAGCATGGCTTCAGATGTCATCCAGTCCACTTCTCTCATCACACAGACGAGAGAGGAAGCGACCTGCCCACGGCCACAAAGGTAGTTAGCCCAAGAGCTGGGCCTCAAATGCAGGTTCTCTGACTGCAGTCAGTGCATTCCCACTGGGCCACAGTACTCATTGTGTCCGGCCTTGTTTTGAATTTGCCTACATTATCTTAGCTCCCTCAAGGAGAGAAGCGAATCTGGGGTTCTGAGATCAGTGGGCAGGCCTTGTTACTGCTCAAGAAAGACCATTTGAGTGTCACGAACACGTGGGTGTCTGAGGGTTGCCAGGAAGCTACGAGCATGGCACCCAGCAGAAAGGGAGTTTGGCTAAGGGTTCTGTGCACTGGAGAGCAGAGTAAAGGCCACAGTGCGGCTTCCGTACCAGACAGCACCTACAGGAATTTGAGAGGTTGCCCAGAGCCCTGCTTTGCACGGAAGGATACATGGGAAGGGACTGGGCCGACGAGCCCCCTCACCTGCTTCTTGGCATCCTTGGGCAGTGCTGGCAGGCTTGCCTTGCTGGCCCGTCGGCGGTTATGGGGGGCAGCCCCTGGTTTCTGCAGCTTGCTGCGGTCAGAGTGGAAGAGTCCCACACGCTTGGTACAGCCCACGTTGTACCTGCCCAAGCCCAGTGAGAAAGGGGTTAAGGCCTCTGGGAAGTTTTGTAGCCAACACCAACTGCCCATCAGCTCCCAACTGGAGAACACTGTGCAGGGAGGTGACAGTAAGGCCACCACCAAGTCTAGGTGGGTCTTCCCTAGGCAGAGCCAGGGCACCTGGACACAGCTTGATAGCCCAATTCTACTCAGGGAGTTGGATAACAGTAGGGACACTGTTCAGAGATCCCTACCAGTCACTGGTCATACTGACCCGAAGCAGCATTTTACCCTCAATCCAGAAACCGAGGGTTTCGTATTCAGGCATCCCTCTGCCTCTGCCACTGAGGCCACATGAGGCAGGGGAAACATTAGGCAGTGACCTGCAACCATTACTGAGCTGGTGTGTAATCCCACATAGGGAACAGTTGGAAAGAAAGGCTGTGACTTCAGGGAAGGCTTCAAACACAAGGCATTATGACAGGGATCTGGCACAGGCCTCAGGAAGGGAGGGCACAGAAAGACTGAACTACACTCATAGGCTATTGCCTGTCCTCTGCGTCTGGGATGCTCTTTAATCTGTTCTAGCTCTGGGCCCTGGGCCTCAAGATTCTAGTTTTCACTGGATCCAGCTGAGACCTATCCAGTGTGTGCTTAATGCAGCCAGGTTACAGCCACCTAAGACAGAAAACGTCTCTGGTAGATGGGGATGGCAGAAAAGCCCTCAGAGGCATCAAGAACCTGGTGAGATTAAGAGCAGAAACCAAGGATGCCTCAGGTCAGGGAAAGGAGAAAACTGGGGAGGGCAGGGCGGCAGGGTTGAGGCCACTCACCTCTTGGCACACGCCATAGAGCAAAAGCGTTTGGAACGTTTGAACTTGTAGGCAAAGTCCACTCGGCCACAAAGCTCACACTTAAGTTTGAGGGGAGTCCCCTCCTCTTTGGATTCTGAAAGGTACACAATGAATTCTCAGTCTGAGAGGATGCTGGTCACCTTCCTGTTCAGCAGGTTCCTTACTCCACGCTCTTCAGTATGTTCCTATAGCTGCCAGACCCAGCAGCAGCCCTGCCACATCACTACAGGCAATCCCAAGGATTCAGGCTATTCCACTGTTTGGTTTGGGGGCTTTTTTGGGGCTGGAATGACCCAAGGGGGTCTGGTGATTCCCCTCCAAGAATTTACTCTCTTGGTTTCTCTTTTTCAAATGCTCTGGGTCCAAGGGTCAAACAGTAGCTGAGGAGGACAGTTCCCTTCCTATTACCGTCAAGAGAAAACCACCATCCTCCCAATCACCCAGGCTCACAAAGTGGGTGTCACCCTTTACTCCTCACTCTTTCACCCATCCCCATCCAAGCTGTTGCGAAGCCCACTCAATTCTACCTTTGCAATATCTCCTGAATATGCTCCCTTCTCTGCTGACACTGCCAAGTTTCTGATGCAGGCCCTCATCACCTCATGCCTGGACTATTATAATAGCTGCTGGGGGGGGGGGTCCTGCCTGCCTCAAGGCTCTCCCCACTTCCACTTCCAGTCCATCCTCTATCCAACCACCAGGTGATTTTCCTAAAAAGAGGTCCTCCTCCCCCCTCCCCCACCCCACTCTAGCTGACTACTCCTGCCCTAGAAAGCAGACCACTGGAGTTATCCAAGATTGGAGTGGCATGCCTCACAGAATTCTAATACAGGCTCCCAGAGTAGACCCAACAATTTGCAAGGGCAGCTCGTAGGGACAAATGGCCAGGGATAAAACTGGAAGAGACAATAGGACCCTGTGATAGAAAGCTCATGAGGTTGACATACACAAGCTCCCTGATCCCCGAGTTCACCTATCTGGCATCACGAAAAACTTGTCCAGGCCTTCTTGAGCCACTACTGCCCTCTAAGGCGTCGGAAGAGAACGTAGAGAACAAGACCAGTAACCTCAAAGCCTGGCACACTCACCTTGCAGATAGGGCTCCTCCATTTCTGAATCAGTGGTGGTGGTGTTCTCTTGCTGTGGGAGTTTCTCAGGCAAAAGCCCTTGTGCATACTTCTTCTTAAGGTTCCCCACCAGCAGGGACGAACGTCCCACCTACAGGATGAAGAGACGGGGCCTGGGGATTAGGAGAGCCCACAGTTCACGGTCACATCATGGTTTCTATCCTCATCAAGATAATATATAGGAAGTGTTCTGGTGCCAAACACTAGCTGGTCTCCACAACACTCACGGTAGCGAGTCTCAGTTGATGCCAGTGTTCTTAGCTGCTGGCATCACCCTAGTCCTGGAACTCACAAAGCAGAATACCAAACGGGGAGGTTGACTTTAAATGGGAACAAACGACTGGCTCGAGAGGCTAAGAATAGGCCCGCTCTCAGAAGTGCCCAGGAGCACAAGCTCCTTCTCTTTTCCTTTGCACTAGCCAGCATGTGAGTGAGACTGAGAAGTGATAAGAGAAATAAACCACGGCAATCAGCTGAGGCTTGGAGGTGCCGTGTTGATGATTACCGTTCTCAGACCTCTGCCACCCTGCTCCCAAAGGCCAGGGAGAAGGAAGGGAAAAGAGAATGGAAAGCCAGTCACAAATCCACATGACAACCCCAAGGGCTGCTAGGACAGTAGCCTGGACTCTTCAATTCAAGTATTCTTCCTCTGATACAGAGAACATGGCTTGCAAACGTAACCATAAAATCCCACAGTGTTTAGATCCAGGGAACGAATGGCGGGTTAAACAATGCTCTCTGGTGCTACTCTTAGAAGCCAGTTGGTTTCCCCAACTAGTATTCCCAGAATCAGGCGTTCTCTAGAGAGCACAGGCTTAAGGAAGGACATTCTGGTCCAACCAGGGTACTAGGGCAATCTAGGGCTGGACCACTTCTACCCACTCTATTCCTTATCTACAACCCCCTGCAGCTGATTCCAAAACGTATTATCTTTTATCATTATTCAGAGCATTGGTTCCGTTATCTCAAGATTATATGCAAGATGCCTACTGCTGAGCATACAGATCCTTTCCAGATCTACAGGAGAAAATGGTGAAGAAAAGCAGACTGGAATCACCAGGGGGCTGGTGGAAGTGTTTCTTGTGGCCAGAGTTCCTACAGTTGGAAGGGGTGCTAAAACACTCGTGGCTTTGGGTGCCTTCTGCCTGTAAAGCAAACACGAAGCAGAAGAACCATCTGTTCTGAAGTCCCTCAAACTAGCCCCTCCAGTTTCCCCTGGGGTTTTTTGTTGTTATTGTCGTCGTCGTTCAAAGAAGCTACTTTTTTGGTCTGCTATATTTTGGGGTCAGTAGTTGGGATAAAGATATAGATGTGTAAAGGACTTAGAGATCATCTAATCTAGCCGCCTCATTTTACAGATGAGAAAACGGGTCCAGGGAGGGTAAGTGATTGGCCCAAGGTCAAACAGGTAGTCAGTGAAAGAGAAAGGATCTGAATCAAAGCCCTGACTCCAAAATCAACCCAGCTTCCACTGGACCATGTTCTGCCGTTCACGCAGCTTCTTGCTGCTACAGAGCACTTCTAATGATCCTCTCGATTCCACTGCCTCCACTAAGGTCTTCTGAAAGCCCCTGCTTTGGAAAAGGGCCTTTCAGGGACCCTGGTGTCTTTCCATACCAGTCTTGACATTAGTTGCTGCCCGATCCCATTACATGGCTGTTCTTTCAATCTTTCACTTATGCAGGATGTTAAGAATTTGCTTCTACAAGGTTCCTCTCGCTTTTCAGCTAGTCACCATATGCTTTCCCATCTCAGTTCGCGTTTTCAGGTGAACAAATTTAAGTATCATGGGAATAATAGTCATACTATTGATTCTCATGTTGGTACTGGAACAGGAGGTGTTCCAATCCCAGGAAGAATATTGTGCCTCAACTACTAGAAAGCTCCTCTTCACAGGTCTGACCACGTTACAATAGTCAGTGATGCCTCTCTGACCAGGAACAGTGTGGATTTCCTAGGGAACTTGCTAATTCATTATGTTCACTGAGCCAGTCTGGATCTGGGTGAATACTTACTTGGTCCTGGAAAGAAATGGGCTTTTAAGACATGGTACAAAGAGAGGAGGAATGGTTATCATATTCAGGACTTTGCATGGAATTGTTAAAAAGAAAAATTAACACACATCCAAAATAAACTTTTTTTGAAAAAGGGGAAAAGAAGTAGTCCGTACCGGGAAAGGCTCCGCCCCCTCCTGGATCACAAACCCTTCGATAACATGCGTCAGGATTTGGGGTTTCACAATGGCCTGTGGTGGTTTATTCTCACCATTCTGGGGGGCAGTGCCAGTGATGCTGGAGGCAGAGTTTCCGTTCCCTGAGGTCATGCCGGGGCTGCTGAGGTCGTTCAGTGCATAAACAATGCCCTTACCTGTCTCTGTAGCAAGGGAAATATGAAGACACAAGAAGGAGGGATCAGAACCAAAGGCTGGACAGAGATACATATGGGATAAAGTTGGGTCAAAGGGAAAAAATGCTGACAAAAACGTGTCTGGCTTTTTCTGGGGATGAGAGGACTGAAGACTAGACTATATCCCAAGCAGTATCCCTCATTCATACCTACCTAAAAGGCGGGGGCAGGGGGTCAACTATGAAACTTTCCAGTAGCACCTGAAAATAGCCCTAGGTAGTAGCCCTGTGCTCAGAACATTTTAATGGGTTACACAGACATGGTAACTATCTTTCGGAAGTTTGTAATCTAGGACAGTCAACGTTAACTTGTACAAATAAGTACAAAAATTATCCTGATAACAGGGAACATTTAACCAACCTAGAGACAGTGACAACCCAAACCATAATCTGGCCAAAGTTCCTGCCCAATCTACTGCTTCCCACAATTAGTCTCAAATGGCTTTCATCTCTGCAAAATGCAACTTTCATGACCACTAGTTTTCTATGGATTCTTATCCATTCTTCAAGTGAACCAGAGAAGAACAAAATCCTAGAGAGTTGGAAAGAAACTGAAGAACCATTTAGTCTAAGGGGTTCTTAACCTGGAGTCCCAAGGGTATCTGGATGGATTTCAGGGGGTCCATGAAAAAAAATGACACTTTTATTTTTTTCTAACCTTTTGTTTCCTTTGTAATTCTATCCATTTTATCTTATGTATTTAAAAACATGATTCTGATAAAGGGTCTACAGGCTTCTCCAAGCTGCCCAAGGGGTCCAGGACACAAAAATGTTCTGGAGCTCTCATCTAGTCCATATCCTGATCAGATGAATCTCATTTAATCCAAGCCCAACAAGTGACATCATGCCTCTACTGATCACTCTTCCCCCAAATCTTACCTCAACTCTTTCCTGTGAATTTTTATCACTTTAAAGACAACCAACTCCACCTCCATACCCACTCTATTTTTAATCAACAAACATTTGGGAACCATCTACAAAATCCAAGAAACAACAGATTAAAAAACAAAACAAAACAGGACAGTTTTTGCTTTAGGGAGCCTACCAAAATTCTAGATTGCCACTGACCCAGGCTCATCTAAATACCTCTATACCTATGTTAGAAACTAACTTAGTGAATGGTCAAATAATTATAACTGGGGTGGGGGAGGATTAAAATTACTAATTAAAAAATGAAACTAAATGAAATCAAGTTTTAAAGGTATTGTATGACTTTTTACAAAAGCAAAAAAAAAATCTACATTTACAATACAATAAAGATTTAAGTTATCATCGTAGAGCAGAAAGTCTTTATTTCAAACTATGTAGCCCTAATACATAGTGTGGTATAGAAAAGTTTAAGGCCTACTTTGACTGATTGCCAGTATTCTCAATCCTGTAGCATTTGGCTACAACATAAGCAGCCAGCAACCATCTCTTTTTATAATATGATCAAATTCAGGGTTAAGCCAAGAAGTTTTTGCTGATGAGATTGTTAAAGGTCATATTAATGAATTTACAAAAGTTAGTCTGGATTCACTTAAGAATACAGAAATGGTAATAACCTAGTTTTTATGAATGGTAATTCCCACTGAAGCATATTTTTCCTCTCATATAATTTTATAGTAGAGAATTATTTAGGAATCAAAAATATACCTCTTTCTCAACACAGTATTTTAAATTTCTCATGCTGATCCTACTTTTAAAGTCCTATTACTTTGCATATACATGGAAAGAAGTTAAAAAACTTTAAAATCTGCTATGCCATTTAATTATAATGGGCCAAGGAAAAATACTGAGAATTCAAAATCCGGTTGCAGTTTTTGTAATTGCTGTATTTTGGACTACTGTCCAAATACATCCCGGCAAAAATATCTCCTAAACTAATTCATGAGTGACTTGATGAACTGGAAATGGGTCATCTCACAATGACTTTAGAATTTTCTGTTTCAATTAATGTGACAGACCAAAATGGTTAACATTTCCGACACACCTGCAAAAATAAATCTGAAAGAACATCAGTGGCAAAAGCACTGTTTTTGGGGTGCAAGGACCCAAGTTTGAATATAAGCTCCACAATTTACCACATGCATGGTCTCTGGCAAATTACAGTACATCTCTCTCTCAGGACCTCGCTTTTCTTATCAGCAAAATGGGGGCTAACCTTTAAGGTCTATCTTGAAAGCCTCTAACCTTGTAAAAATAAGCAATAACTTTAAAATATAAAGTGAATCTTTTAAAAATGAAAGCTATATCTATTTCCAAATTGAGTTTTCTGGTCTAATGACTTAAATCATTTCACTCTATTACAAACACTGATTGACACACGCCCAACACTCTCATTACCCTTGGTAGAACTCTACCTACCTCCTTAACATATAATCCCCTGCCTCCCTTAGTATGGTTTCCTCTAACGTTGTTAAGACTCTTCTATTCCTGTTGTCTCTCATCTCAGATGTAAATCATTAAATCATTAAGGATATAAAAACATTTTAAATCCTAGTCATAATAATAACAGCTAACATTTACATAGCACTTGTGTGCCAGGCACTGTGCTAAGCAATTATCTCATTTGATCCTCACAATAACCTTACAAATAGGTGGTATTATTCCTATTTTATTGGTGAGGAAACTGAGGCAGACCATGGTTAAATGACTTGCTCAAGGCCACACAGCAAGTAAGTGCCTGAGTCCTGCTTTGAATTCAGATCTTGCTGACTCCAGGCCTGAGGCTCTAAACTTTGTGCCACCCAGCTATCCTAATAGAGGGTAAATAGGTGGATGAGTAACTCCAAATGCTACATTCTCTACTCAGCTCAACACTGGCCCAAAGTCAGGAGATCTGTGTTCTAATCCTGGTTATTCCACTTTCTAGCTGTGTGGCAAGTCATTCCCACCTAAGCCTAAATCTTCTCTGTACAAGGATGAGTATGATCCCTCTGAGGACGCAAGGGTTCCATGGCTAGCTCAGGAGCCGGGGTAGTTTTTCCTTTACCCTTGGCAAAGGTAGAATTCTAGCTCTTGAGAGTAGAGACGAGCAAAGGGCCCAATCTGGAGAGGGCAAGTACATGAGATAATGTTGCTACCTTTAAAACAACACTGAAACAATCACTCTACTGTGACTTGTCAGACCTTAAACATTGCAAACCTCAAGGGACTATGAAAAAGTGCCTTATATTCTCTTCTGACTCTCACACTCCCATGAAGAAGGCCATTTCACAGATGAGGAACACTTAGGCTGAGAGATTGGTGGCTAGACATGGTCATGTAGCTAGTAAGGGCTAAAGGACAGATTTGAACCTGGTTCTAAAATACTGCTACTGAGCAATACACCACAACACTGCCATGATGTGGTCAGGGGAATATTTTGTGGTCCTGTCAAGGTCTGGAGCTGCTTTTCTATACGGTCACCCTGGAGGTCAATTTCTTCCCTGTTCTAATAACAAAGGTAGTTGGACTATTTCTGGAATAATCAAATACAACTTTGCCCTGTGACAAGCTCAGCATAATGAGATTACATTAGTATCTTTCCCAGGCCTCCCAATCTGCTCCAAGGACAACTTGCTGCTCTCCTATGTTGGTAGGAGAGAGACAATGAAACTTAGACCTACTCTACTGGCTCTCATTCTAAATCAGGAGCTAGAAATACAGCACCAGATGTGGAGCCAGAGGGTCTGGGTTCAAATTCCTACTCTACCACATAATGCTGTGTAACCATAGGCAAGTCACTTAACCACTCTAGGTGGTGTCCTCAACCACAAAATGAAGAGGCTGGACTAGAATGACCCCTAAGGTCCCTTTGTGCCTTTGATCTGTCTTTGGAGTGTCTCCTGTAGTTTTCTTTTTTCTTGGAGAGGCAATTGGGGTTAAGTGACTTGCCCAGGATCACAAAGCTAGTAAGTGGCAAGTGTTTGGTCTGAGGCCGCATTTGAACTCAGGTCTTCCTGACTCTAAGGCCAGAGCTCTATCCACTTCACCACCTAGCTGCCTCCTATAGTTTTCTTAATAAGCAATGGAGTTGTGCAGGCATTGCCTCAGCAGTCCCCTAAAACTCCAGAACCCTGAATACGGCACAGGAAATAGGACGGGAAAGGAAGTAAACCTAAACTTCAAGCTCAAGTACAGGGTATTTTTGGGGGGTGGGGTGGGAGGTGGAGAATGGTCAGGGATCTATCCCACAGCAGGAGGGAGCCAGTGTCCTAACACCAAATCAGGGTGTCCTTAGAGAGATTATATAATATATGCCCTGCTCCAAATTCCATCCTCATTCTGCCAACGTAAGATTGACTCTTCCTGACAACTCTTTTTCCAAGTTTTAATTTCTCTAAATTAAAAAAAAAAGAGGAAAGAATAGCTCTTGCTAGGGCATAACAGAACAGGCACTTGAGGTCCATTGTTACCAATGTAGCATGCTTGGCTTTCATCAGGGCCCGTCAGTATCTCAACGTGACACCTGGCACTGGCTGATGTTTGCAAAGCACTTTCCAAAGCCAGAATGATTTAGGGGCTGTTAGTTTGGTGCCTGCCTACAAGAGCATGACATCTTTAGGCATCTGTCTACTGCAGGAATACTGTCAGGCAGATAGATGCTTGCTGCTTAAGAAATCTTGGGCTCGGTTCCTCCCTCTGCAGCGTGGTGTTTCCAAGAGAGGTCAATGCAGCGTGGAGCTGGAAGTTAGAAGTGAGCCCCCTAAAGCTAGATACTTCCTCACTGCACATGTTTACAAAGCCATTCCCTCTGTTAGAAGCCAGTAGGTGTCACTGCCTCCAAGCTCCAAACTGATCACAAGACCACGTCTCACCAAAGAAAAGTGCCACCTCAGAACCTGGGCTGCAGGAGACATCAACGGTCAGCACAACCTAGTGCAGAGTACTGAACTTAGAGGCAAGAAACCAGGATTTGACTCTTGCCCCTGCAATCATTTCATGGCAAGATATTTAATATCTCCAAGCTTCGGGGATGGTAATATTGCTACTACCTACCTTGTG